CGTGACGTAGTAGTTAAGCTGTTGCACGACGAAGCTCTCGGGTCGTGGCGGGGTCGTGGCCTTGTTGTAATGGTGGTCGGATCGTAGCTTGATGATGGGAGGACGTGGCTTCAATGGTGTGGTTGCTGTGGGGGGTTTTATGATGGTGGTGGTTGTGGTAGCAGAGTCGTTGCCACGTATGGTGGTGTCAGGTGGGAGTGGGGGGTCGTGGTGGAGTGAAGGAGAGCCAGCCTCACCCCATACCTATTAATCATCGTCTTCAAGTAGATGTTGGTGGATAAGCGGCAACTGCCAGGGCGACGGTGTTGACAGGTGCCCACGTCCAATACCCTAGGGCCCAGATAAGTTGTTCCACGTCCTCAGTTCAGGTCCTCGGCTTAACAACACTAGACCCTGGTCCCTGGTGTCTTCTCTAGGTCCTCCTCAGGTTCAGTTCTCTTATCACTGGTCCTCAGCTTAAGTCATGAGTTTCAGTGCTTCAGGTCCTGGTTAGCAGGTCATCGTTGTATTCAGAACAGGAGTATGGAAGTGTCCTCATGCTGAAAAATACACCAAGTGTTTAAATATACAATTGATCATGAACATCGTTGTGTGAGTTTGATGGCGCCGTTGAGTATATGTTGATAAATGTAAATAGTTCAAGACGAGAAAGTCAGATATCCTGCAACAAAAACAACAGATTGAAAGTTTAGGTCTGGGTTAACTAGCAACAGGAGGGCGTATTAGCTGTGAACTGAGAGACGCGCCATACAAGTCTATAGAGAGACACCGCCCGCAACACCCCCTATAGGTCAGGTTATAACTCAATATTGGTCGTACAGATAACCCGGTCACTCCACCCCTCCCGCCTGACCTACAGACCACAGTACACTACCTCGACTGTGATCTCTGGGCTTGCTGACTGTCTGCTGTTACACTCACCCTCCATTCCTGACGTATGATTCATCCTTAGCTCAGGTATACGTAGACTGTTAACTGTGGGTAGGTGACTGGTGCGATTTTCCACTCCTACATTGACTTAAGGTTCACGGTTATTCAGTCAGGGTTTGCAGGATGTGATAACTGGCTGATCTGACTGGTAATTACGTATTCTTTTGTGTCTTGGCTACAGAGAACAGTCGATAGCTCTCTCTCTCTCTCTCTCTCTCCATATATCATAGCTTACCAACGTTGAAGTTGTTCGTTTTTTAGGTCGTCTTTTGCTTCGTTAACTGGCAACGACAGAGTAAGGTCATGTTCTTTACTAATCCTCTGGTTTAAGAGATGATCTGGAGCTTCGGCATTAGACTCAATAAAATTAGGTTAGGTTAAGTAAAGCCTGCGCATAGTGACCATAAGTTAGAACCTCTTAGCGGGAAACATACCTGAGACCATCGGAGAATAATCTGGCTCTGAGAAAAGCGTCAGAGTTGAAATATCCTTGATTAAAAGCACCATGGCAGCAACTTCCTTAACTAAAGCCTTCAGGACTCAAATTTATGGCCGAAATGTCTTTGTGTCTGAGATTACCTCCTGGTTGATATGTTCCTGGTAAGAAAGTAGAACCAAAAGAGCATAAAGTCAAGTAGAAGTTGTAACCCCGTGTCTCTCAATGTTTCACCTAACCAAAGGTGGATCAGCACTTGCATTTACTAAGCATCATAACAAACAGATGTACAGATCTTTTGAATAGTCTTACCTGCTTAGAGTTGGACTTTACTGACTGTGAAACCTAAGCTGTTGGCATTTACAGCTTAAGAGTTGATCAGCGGTGCAATTAGTTTTAATTTACGTTTGAACACAACACAGCGGAGGACTAGGATGTCTCCTGCCTCTTGGCTTACTCAACCACTGGTATTTTGTAGCCCAATATATTCAGCGTCGTATTGGTGCTTAATTATGGACCCATTGTTCGCAAGGATGAACCCACAGCAGAAACTGTTGGTTGGGAAAAAAGAACACAGAGTAGAGCCAGTTAAGCTGCTATAAATACTTGCCACCATAATGTATTCAGTACAAGACTTTAAAGTCATCCTCTTCCTTTCTTCACTTAGAATTATTTGATCCTCTGTGAAAATTATGGAGAGGAGTTGGTGGAAATTAGAGAAGGCGAAATGTTTACCAAAAAGTGGTTCTTAATCCTAATCTGTTGACAAAGAGCCCAGCCGAGCAGAGCCATCAGCATAAACTTGGCGAGTCAATAGTTAGTCCAGACGCGCCTCGATTGTCTCCTGACAGACAGACACTCACCCTCTGCGTTATGTGCGCCGGCATTAAGCTGGAGGGGGGAGAGGAGGGGTAGTCTGGGTTAACAATGTGGTCGTTATTGCGTTTGTTAGACCCTTTCTCCACCCGTTCAACAGGCTAGGATAACAAGACTTAATTGTATCTTTCTCCAAAGGTAATGCATTTTACCCCCAAACATTTATGGCTACAATAAATACAGTCTCATTGTGATGGAACGCTAACTTTCACTTTATACTACATTCATACCCATAACAGACCAACAGGAATACGTGTGAGGCGACCATAAACAGAAGTCTGGAATCAATACAGACCATGGGAGATATTTGTACCGTGGCCAAAGATGGTCTGGTAGTCGTACCAATAATAATGACTGTTCCGGTTGACTGAGAACCACGTGGGACAATGAAAGTGAACAGATCTGAGCAAGATATTGGAGCTTATAACAAGACAGTGGTGTTTATAAAGAGATAGTGGAGCTTTCAAATGGTCGTAGAGCTGAGAGAGAGAGAGAGAGAGAGAGAGAGAGAGAGAGAGAGAGAGAGAGAGAGATGGTTTGAAGGCGGTGGCGGACCCTCGAATTCCTCTTCCTCTAGCCCCGACATACACAACTTTCCCTCACCATATATTGCCCTACCCAAATTCTACCTTCATCCTTCTCTACATCCTTTTCTCTTACATTTCACCCCTTCCTACCCCCTAGTACCCCTCCTCTACCAACGTGACCCACCAGGGGGCTTCTACCTCCCCCCCTACCTAACCACTTGGCGCTAGGTGTTGGTCAGCGATTTTATTCCAAGGTCTCAAAAATTCTCCATCGGAAGGAAATCGAACGGATGGGATAAGTCAGTTTCGCGAGACATTTTTACAGATTTCTATTAAAACAAACTTCTGTCAGCCAACTACTGTATAGGATCTAGTCATCCCGGTTATTGCCAGCATCACTTTACTATGAACCTGAATCAAACATCGACCTCAACACGGAAATGAATTCTCGTCAACTGAAAAATTACCTCGTGGTTATTTCTATGAGGGTTATTATTATTATTTCCTTAAAGGAGACTCATAAATTTTGTTTATTTTACCCTGAGCCTCTGTCAATGCCCCGACCTCAACTCCTTGTGACACCTTGAGAAATGTGACCAACTTCCTTCTGGAATTACGTGACAGGTAGTTATAGTGCAATGACTTGTGAAGGTGATCTGGATATTACATTTGAGGCATTTCGAGTCTTCATATTTCAGAAACTCATGTTTCTTCTATGAACTATATCTCATCTCCGTGAGTAATGATGTATTACCTGTTATTGGGAAGTTCTCGGAATAACTTAAATAATAATACACAAATATCTCCGTGGTTCTGGAAATCAGTATTATCGTGAGTCAAATGTCACTGATTCTGTGAACCAGACGTGATCACCATAAGTGATATTGGATTATCTGGCCATTCCGCGCCTAACAATTTCTCCGAATGCCATTAAGAATAAAGTAAAAATGAACTAAACTCATCTGTGAAATTCTTGGAGGGTTGACAGTCACATCCCATGAAATAGAAAAAAAAATTCTAAACTCGATGATTTCCAGGGGACACGGCAGCCCGTTGACTTAAGAAAAGATGCGGCAGCTCTTCCATCAGTTACTATATCAACAAATTATTTTTTCTCTTGTAAATAAAACATTTTGTTTTATACCTTCAACATTTAACAAAATAATCAGGTTTATGATATACTGTATGATGATCTATCCAATGATATATATGGATGTGTTATGTCAGTGTATAAACATATGGTCCCACACTGACGAGTCCCCCACCTTTGGTCGTCATGTTTGGTCGTCATCATCAAATGTACATCATATGTTAATCGGATTCTATGGCATTAGTAGATGGTGCAGTGAGCAGTATAGTGACTTAGCAACATACATTCCGAGTTCTTTATTCAATCTTGTCATCTAGTTCTGTACGTCTCAGTGTTTGTCCACTATTTTGTTTTTAAGCGTTAGTTTTGTTGCCCTGAATAACTCATATGTTGCCAAGAAAAAAAAATTGTTCACTGGTGTTCTTGACCAACACACGTGACCTTTGAGCTGAGCCGATGAGTGAGTGGTTTGTGGTGTTTGTTGTGGCGAGATAGTGAGATAGTCCAGGTAAGCTTAAGGGGAAGATAATTGGGCGGGACCAGTGGAGAGGTGCTGAGAGTAAAGGCTGTAACAGGAGGGAACTTATCCTTAGAAGGTAAGTTACGGAGGACCTGTTCTCGGAGGGGCGTGTCCATAGAGGGCATGTCTACGGAGGGGCGTGTCCATAGAGGGCCAGTCTACGGAGGGGCGTGTCCATAGAGGGCCTGTCCACGGAGGGGCGTGTCCATAGAGGGCCAGTCTACGGAGGGGCGTGTCCATAGAGGGCCTGTCTACGGAGGGGCGTGTCCATAGAGGGCCTGTCCACAGAGGGGCGTGTCCAGGTAGGGCGAGAGTGATCGGTGCGTGGTAGGGTGGCGATGGTTCTGGCTGATAACAATGGTTACATCGCGTGAGCCATGAACCTCGAATGGCCACACTCACGCCACGCTCCCTAAAGCCTCCATTTAGCCAAGAGTTGTCCTTATTCTCCCCCTTACTCCTTCCATTTACTCTCCCCTTGCCACTTATTCTCCCCTTACCCCTTCGAGTTAGTCAAGCCTTGCCACTGACCCCCATTAACCCCCCATCCCACCACCTGTCCCTCCTCTCTTTACTATTCGGTAGAGACAAAGTTCTGTTTCAGGGAGACATAATACAGCCATGCGTGGGCCCAATGACCATCCAGACCCCCACATATTGCTACAGGCGGTCACTGTCGAGCTATTAGGCCGGTCGCTCATCGCCGTCTCCGAGAATTGGTTTCGTTTGCCTGAGGAAAATGTCTTAATTCTATTGTTTACCTCCATCACTGATGTCTCCATGAAGGTGATGGACGCGCGGCTGATGTGTGATGAAAACTGTTGTAGATTATACGGACGGGGGAAGTGGATTGATGACTTGACAGCGAGAAGGTTGGACAGTGTGTGTTTTGGGTCGGCGGTACGAGATGTGGATAGGTGGAATTGTTCATCTTTGTGACTTTTTTTCTTGCTTCTGCTGTTGTTGTTGTTCCCTACACCCTTCCACACAGTCGGGGCGTGGATCTGTTACATAGCCTTGAGGGAGGTGTGGGGGGTGCTGGTTAGTTGAAATGATTGTTAAGGAATGTGGATTGATTTAGTTTTTGTGTTCTTGTTATTACTTCTGCTACTACCGCTGTGACATTAAGAAATATTAGGTTAGGTTAGGTTAAGTGACTCCTATTGCATAACACTATCAAAAGGTGCATCAATCTGTGATTAATGACTTTAACTTGGTTTTAATTGGTGTCAGAACAAAAACACGAATATGAAATTTAAATGGTTCTCAATACTACAAACTCATACGCTGATGCAGCCTCCTACCCATGATATATGCAGCCGATACCGACCTGACGGTGTAAACAAACGGAGATGAAGATGAATGACCCGTCTGACAACACCGGTCTAGCGTGGTTGTCGCTGTGTCGTGGTGGTAGTGAATGGACTGCCTGGTCACCCCATCCTCCCAAGAAGGTCAACTACGATATATATAAAAAAAAACAGCTCTCGTGTACAGGTCATTACAGCGTTTAGAATATGACAATTTCTTAACGAGTCATCATTTTGAAAGATATTTTGTTGGTTTAAAACAGGTGCTTCCTATATCATACATAAAGCAGGGGGTAATAATGGATTGTTTAATCTGATTTTAAAATCAAGAAGCTGTTTTTATCTGTGTGTGTGTGTGTGTGTGTGTGTGTGTGTGTGTGTGTGTGTGTGTGTGTGCGTTACATAAAAGAAGAATAGTTGTAACATAATTTTACAGGAGGTTGGGAGCGTAACTTTCTGTTGACAAACATTAATACAGTTGTCGGGGAGAACAATAGCCCAAGGTTTCAGGAGCCGGAGTCCCACCCCGTTATCCCACCACCATCCTTTATCCTGCCATCATTGCCGCCCAGGAGGGAGATCCTACTGTGGGACTCACAGGATAAGCAGGGATTAGAAACAGACACAAGGAAGGTTTATTGGGGGTGAGAGAGGATTCAAAGTTCTGACTCCACATTGGTTCGAAGCGTCCCACAGTGGATTAAAGGGGTGCTAAGATGCCCATAAGGAAATCATCGGGTACCCACATAGGGAGACTATGGCCAAAACCCACACGGGAGAGGATCCAAATAGGCACCCCACAGAACAGCCGAGGATGGCGGGCGGGGAGGAGACTATCCAAGACAGGAAACAAAACACATAAGCATCCCGGGAGGAACAGGTATATAAACACAGTGAACGTGTATGTAAAACAAAGACAACGAGGCAGGTAAGGCAGGCAGGCAGGTAAGGCAGGCAGGTTGCAGGTACCCAGTCACCGTGTACCAGCTGAACAAACAAGTATATACGACACAGGGTACACGGATATAACTTCAGGGAACAACTATGTTAAAAATCAGCGTGGGGTTTGTTGTGTCGTTGGTGTGTAGGTACGGGAATTAAGCGAGACAAATATGCAGTAAGTGATGTGACGGAGGACATAGGCAAGGAATGTTGTTGTTGTCCCATCAGTGACCGGCCGCCGCCTCAAGAGTTAAGTCATCTTTAGCTCATTGTGTTCCTGTTATTATCAGACTGGCTTAACACAATGACTGTGTTAACTGTATTATTATTTGTCGTGTGTGTGTGTGTGTGTGTGTGTGTGTGTGTGTGTGTGTGTGTGTGTGTGTGTGTGTGTGTGTGTGTATGTAATAATTGACGGTTTATTGAAAAAGTTCTGCAGCCCGAAGGCTGAAAATATACATTGGACATAAATGACTTATTACATACATTGGTGGTTTAACAAAAGCCTTCGTTAGAGAAAGGTAAAGGAACATACAGTGAACATACAGATTAATGTAGGTGTTGAACAGCAAAAACGTAGTGTAGTAACTCCCTCCCAGATGGTGTTAGGAGGACCTCAGGGACCTCACAGATGGTGTTATGAGGCACCGTAGTAATTCCCTCACAGATGACATTTTATGAGGGCGTAGTTCCCTCACAGATGGTGTTATGAGGGGCCTCACGTGGTGTAGTAATTCCCTCACAGATGGTGTTATGAGGGGCCTCACGTGGTGTAATAATTCCCTCACAGATGGTGTTATGAGGGGCGTGACGTGGTGTAGTAATTCCCTCACAGATGGTGTTATGAGGGGCCTCACGTGGTGTAGTAATTCCCTCACAGATGGTGTTATGAGGGGCCTCACGTGGTGTAGTAATTCCCTCACAGATGGTGTTATGAGGGGCCTCACGTGGTGTAGTAATTCCCTCACAGATGGTGTTATGAGGGGCCTCACGTGGTGTAGTAACTCCTTCACATATGGTGTTATGAGGGGCCTCACGTGGTGTAGTAATTCCCTCACAGATGGTGTTATATGAGTGAGGTGTGGTTCCAGGCCTTCCTATCGTAGACGGATTAACACATCGCTGGTTGTTGGGTCTCACGGGCCGTTATCACTGGGTACCTGGGACCTCACTGTGTGAAGGTCAACTTGGGTACCACTGTTACTGTTGAGTTGTTCTCACTGACTTAAGCACTGTTCACCACTGTTCACCTCTGTTTAACACTGGTTTCATTCCTTTCCTAAATGAAATAGTAACTTCTGGCGAGAACATGTTGATATTCCGGTGGGGAGGAGGGTTCAGGGGAGGGAGTTGGTATGGGCCAACATAACAGTTGACCTGGCTGCTCTGAGAGGAGCGCCAGTCGTTGGCTTCCTTCGGTGGTCAGGATGTGTGTGTCGTGTGTGTGTGTGTGTGTGTGTGTGTGTGTGTGTGTGTGTGTGTGTGTGTGTGTGTGTGTGTGTGTGTGTGTGTGTGTGTGTGTTTAAGATAAAACGGACAGAAGAAACATAAATTGTTTAAACTATTTTAAACTTAGTAAGACAATATCATAAGAACTATTTCAACGACAATGTTTAGGTTGGTGTTTAATTTAAGGTAAGTCAGCAGCTGCAGATAATGTTCACTACATTTATAGTCTTGTTGAGAAAAATTACGATGAGTTTACAGAGACTCTTGGGTTGGTTTATGGTCCTACATTAGACCTGGATAACGAGAGCGTGTCTTTATACATGGTTAGGTTAGGTTAGGTTACTTGATGTATGAAAATATATCTTGAGCTTGAGCCATAAACCCCGCCAACACTGCTCCTGGCGTGAAGTGGATGTCGTCAGCTGATGCTCTACTCCTCAACCTTGTTTACTGTGTGTGTGTGTGTGTGTGTGTGTGTGTATGTATGTGTGTGTATGTGTGTGTGTGTGTGTGTGTGTGTGTGTGTGTGTCAATATTTCCTAATTTACATGGCTGTGGAGTCAATGACCCCCAACTACCGTGCACCCTCTCTACCACCACCCACAGTACTACGAGGCTCAATTGACTTTCAGAGAGAGATAATCTTAGTTAACTGCATGAGCGATTAGCGAGGTGTATGACCCACAAAACAAAACACTGTTGAAGGAAACCAGGCATGACAAGACGCCGTTGTGCGCGGCTGTGTCTCAACTCCCTTATAAGAGGATTGCAATTTCAGGTTCTGACAGAAGCAGTTATCCCACTCTGAGGTCGTCGAGAAGTTCTCTACCTACTTGTCGTATGGTGGATGTCTCTTCATGTTGACTGGTGGTGTCAGACGATATCTAGACCAAGTTGGAGTTGTCAGGGCGGTGCATTTGCTGAGAGATTGTGACAGTCAAAACTCGGTGGCTTTAAAGTTTGGTTTGTCTCAAAGTGTCATCAGTTGTGTGGAGGAGGTACCTGCAGAACGGATTATACAACAAGAGACCAGTTTAGGCAAGACTGTTTCTTGCCCAGACCACTACCTCCTTAACCCGGTCTGTCGTGTCCTGGAAATTGGTTTTTGAAGTATCACAGAAGTACAACTGTCAAATCAGACAATGAGAAATCGTCTGCATAGGATAGCATGAATGTCCAACTTTGACAGCAGCTCACTGTCCTGCCAAGTTGGAGTTTGCTCGTGAATATCAATATTGGTAGGTACGTCATTGAACACCCGTACCTTTTTCACAAATGAGAGTCGAGTTACGTTATCGACAAAGGATAGACATGTGAGGCTGTAGAGACATAGGGACAGAGTATCTCTCAGTATAGTTGCAAGGTTAATCATGGTGGTCCAGGAGTCTGTTTTGACCTCCAGGTTATTGCCAGAGTTACACTGACAGTCTTGAGGTATCTGGACGAGAAGTTAACACCTACTGTAATGGGAGTGCATTGGGTGATGGGTTCATTCTGGCGGAGAATACTACCTGTCTACACATAGCCTAGCTGTCAATAGATTTCCTGGAGGAGGGAACTGCAATTATGAACTGACCGGGGAAGTCACCAGACCTCAATCTGATAAAACGTGTTTGTGACATCCTATCCAGGAGAGGTGCAGCAACACCACGCCCACCACACTACGTACTGGCCCTGAGAGATACAATAGTTCAGGAATGAGAGACCACAATAGAGAAGGTCATCAGACGCGTCACCATGGAACATGTTCACACCCGCGGAGGTCACAAAAGTTGTAAACATGTGAACGTATACAGTATGTTTAATTTGTTTTGTTATTGGAGTTCAGTATCTTGTTTACATCTCGACTCAGTGTATGTCTTATATATTGTTCGTCGTAAAGTATTGTCCAAATATGCAAATTCGGTATTTATTATATTTGTTCAGTTTGTGCTGTATTAGAAAAAGCTAGAATACCGTTCCGTTATTTATTTGACAAGTCTATGAAAACAAGTAATGGTAAGTACAATGTTACACACCCTATGCCATCCCTGGACAAATCACGAGTAAAAAAAAAATGGCAAAAAAAAAGACGAATCACTTGGT